CCTGAAGGTCGCAAGATACGCCTTCAGGACCTGTTGTCTTCTACTTTCCTCCATCATTGATTGATGATGTTGGGGGTGGGGTTGGTTGAGGGATGTGGGAGATTATCGTGGCTGGTAAAGATAACCTATCTAAACAATCTAAGTTTACACACAGATATTCTCAGCAAAATAGAAAAGATTTGCTAAAATATAAAGAAGGAAAGATGTTCTTCTTGGGTAAGAAATTTTAGAATACTTGAGAGGGATTCTAACTTGCTTGAAGATAAGCGTAAGTATTCTTAGATGTATGCAAAATATGTGTGTGTATATTCGCGTGTGTCTCTGCATAGAGAGAACACTCAGCTATTTATACCTATTGCATTAAATGCACATTTAATGCAATTCAGTAGGGTTTGAACATACGTCAAGCATTTAAAAGAAAGCTTGTCCTTTGCTACAGTGAATAGTACAAATGCATATTCATGAGCATGTATCCTTTCGTGGAGTTGGTGGGTAATAGAGTTAACTAGTCGGCTATGTACCGTACTATACTATAGAAAGGGTGTGGTTTTGTCCTCTGTGTGTAGAAGGACAATAGAAAAACAATCTTGCACAAAAGCTTCATTTGATTGCTGACTGCTGGAATAACACTGAAGGTCTCTTTAGCATTCGCTGAGGCTTGGGCAGTCTTCACACATATGTTGAGAGGTTGTAATCACTGAATGCCGCTTCAGATCACGAATGCGCCAGTCACTAATCTTTAGTTTTAGTCTTCAACTTTCATTGAAGGTTCTTTGATGTGAGTTTTGTCTTCTTGAAGTATCTTTGTCGCTGTAGGATTTACAAACCATGTTTCAGTGATCACTAAACAGACTTAGTGCCGATTGATGGAACTGAAAGAACAGAAACATAATACTTCGTAATAGGTAAAAAGGATTATCATCAAATAAATGAGAGAGAAGATCAATAATTTGTCTTCACATATGCACATAAGCTGAATCTAAAAAGCACATCCCAAAAAGGCGCACTACAAAAACCAATGCTACTTGAATGCTACAACACATAAACAATAGGTATACTTGTTCAAGTTAGCCATCCAATGTTGTAAAAATAGATAAATCACTTAATTAGCTCTATGGATAAACAAATAGAAGTAACATAATAGAAATAACTCAAAGTTGGGATGAAACAAAAAATAAACTACCTAAAGGTAAAGAAATAGGTGTTTTACGCTTTGGATAATCAATGCATATCACACCCTAAACTTAAAGTGTTTCTTTTCCCCAAGCAACCAAAAAACAAAAAGAAAATGAGTCAAATTTGAAATATTTGCAAGATTATGGCATTAAGTACACACATAGTATATAGCATACCAAACATGAAATAAACAGCCTTTCATAAATCCTTAGTGAACCATTCATATCCTAATTGTATGTATGAACCATATGCTAGTACAAATGTTTTATTTGTTGAACTCAACACATTTTTTCATTTAGGATCAATAAGGCTTTTATAGGGTTTCTTTCTTTGGGTTTTTCTTTTTTCACCTAGCGTTTTTCACTTATATGCTTCAACATTGAATTTTTTTAACCATATCCAAACTAAGGCATTTTTTTTGGAGCTTTGCTCTTTTGCTTGATGTTTTGGCCTTAGGGGAAAATCCTCCCCCAAAATTAGATTTGACAATGTCTTCATTGGTTATAACGAGTTTGTAGTGTAATATAGAGAGTACAAGTGGCTATTTGAGAGACAAGAAGAAAGGCTTTTATCATTATGACAAATAATAGAACGGCGCACAAAGTAACAAATACAAAATTGACCTCATTATTAGAAATCAAGTTATTGAATATTTGGGGCTAGATTTGCCTCAATTTTTTGTCTCTTTCCTTCAGCTTTTCTCAAAGCAGCTTCCGCTATTTCAAGAGTTTGCTGAGCTTCTTGTGGATCAATGTCACCACTTTTTTACATGTAATGTGTGAGTTAAGTTGTGTCCCAAAAATATTGTTTTTAGTTCTAGCAAGAACACAACTAGTAAGTGAATAACATGAATCATAAAATTAGTTGGGCTATGAACTCAATGGTAACAATATTTTACACATGTAATCTTGCGTAAATATAAATCTAAAAGTATAAAATTATCACTGACTTAAAAATAAAAACATGGAGACTAAAGGAAGGTGATTTGAACCCGTCCTACTCCAGAGGAGTGGGTTGTAAAGCTTGTGCAACTACTGTTGGTGCCAATGCTACAACACAATTCTTCTTGCATTCTTCCATCAACCTCTGTTTTTCTTCAAAGGGCATTCGGTTATCCACCATGATCGCCTTCAAAATATTTTCGCCAAAGTTGATACTCTCACCTATTATGAGACAAAAAAAAGCTACAACCTTTCCACATGAGTGGAGCTATCATGATTACTGCATGATAAATAATTTCTAATAAAGTTTATTCAAACATTCTCATTGGAGGACAAATTGGCAGCCTTAAAGGTTTTCAACATAAAATGAGTGTAAGGCTCCCAATCAGCCTTAGACACTTCAAGGAAAGTCATAATATCATCCAAGTATTCCTCAGAGGTAGTGTAAGAGTATATCATACTCAGAATGTATGTGAGGTGAGAGACTCAAAAACCTATTTATGACTCTATAAAAAATAGACGTCTTTCTTTGTGGCTCTATGGATGTAAAGTTCTTGTCATCTTGGATGATTTTATGTTGACAAAAAGAAGAGCTAATCCCCTTTAGGTCGTCAATGGTCCATCCTAATGCCTTTGTGTATAACTCAACATATCCACTAACTTCTCTTCTTTAAGAAATTCTAGGGTAGATTATATGATGACAACAATTTGTTTTACTCTTCTAGGAAAACATACTTCAAATGATATGGGAGTTGTTTCAACTCCAAGTTAGGTGTTGAGATTACGGATGTGGTTAAGTTCTTTTGCTTACTATTTTCCAGCAGCTCAAATGCTACAACATTCAATAGGACAGCATCATTCCTTATCAAAGCTTTCTTTTCAATAATTTGTTCCTCTATAACCTCATCATCTTCTTCTTTCAACTTAAGGGTTTCCTTAATTCTTTCCTCATGACATGTTGATTGAATTTCACTTATGGTTGAACAATTCTCATATCATCAGGGTACTTCAAGGAATTAAAAAAACATTAAAATGTGACTTTTTGGTCCTGAAGCCTCATAATTAGCTCTCCTTTGTAGACATCTATCAAGGTTCCTCCGGTGGCTAGAAATAGTCTCCGTAAAATAATAAGAATATCCTTATCAGCCTCAAAGTCTAAAATGATGAAATCTACAGAAAATATGAACTTATCAACTTGGACTAAGATATCCTCAATATTTCCCTTAGGGTATGCAATGGACTTGTTGCCAATTGAAGTATAAAAGTGGTAGGTCCAGCCTCTTCTATGCCTAAGGTATTGAAACCAAATAAGTGCATAAGGTTGATTCTTGCACCTAAGCCACATAAATCTTTCCCAATCTCCTTTCCACCTATTGAACAAGGAATAGTGAAATTTCTCGGATCTTTAAGCTTAGTAAGGATCTTATTGGTGAAAAGTGCACTACATCCTTCAGTAAGAGCAATATTTTCATATTCTGTTAGCTTCTTCATCTTACTTGAAATGTCTTTGAGGAACTTGGTATAACTGGGTATTTGCTCAATTGTTTCAACAAGTTGATATGCAATTCTTTGAACACATCCAAAAATTTATTAAAGTGCAATTCTTCCTTCTGATTTTTTAACTTTTGAAGAAAAGGTACACAAGGAAGAACTGGTCATGTGACAACTTTATTTGAATGTGTTGAGCAAGATGGGTCCTTTATGCCTTGGGTCTTAATCTTACTCTCTTGTGGTGTAAATGGGGTCAAAGCATTGGTCTTAGGGTTTGCTATAACCTCATTCTATATTGATTTTTTCCTACCAGTCTCTTCTGGAAATAGTAAAGGTAATCTAATTGGGGGGGGGGGGCAGTATTGGTGACCTTAGATAATTGACTTTCTAATGGTTTTGGTGGTTTTTCAATAACATGTCCACTGTTGTAGCATCAATTTTTGACAAATTGGTTCACAATCTTTTTGCACTGCCTCAGTCAATTCCTTCCCACTTCTAAGGGTCACTGCTTTCACATGTTCCTTTAGTAAGGTTCTCGGAACTTCTATGTTACTAGGCAAAGTACCAATGAACCTATTGTTCTGGTTAAGTGCAAGCTGACTAACTCGGGTTTCAAGATTCTTGACTACAACACTATGTTGATTAAAAAGAGATTGCTTTTGAGAGTTCTGTTAGTTCAACAAGGCTTGATTTTGAGTGTTTTGTTGGTTCAACAGGTCTTGAGATTGACCTGAGCCACAAGCCCCTTCACCAACACTTCCAGAGAAGTTGATGAGTCACCGAATAAAAGTGGTTTATTTTGAAAATATGTTCGAGTAGTTTGAAAACCTTGATGCTGATTTTGAGAATTGCTCACATGCTGTTGGAGTTGAAAATTACATGTTTCTTGTTGCTTAGGTGTGAGAGGATTTGAACATGAGCTATTCCAAGAAAAGTGCGGGTGTTGTTTTCCAGTTGGCATTGTAATTGTTGGTTTAGAGACCAATTCCAACATGAACATATTTTATGGATTCAGAATTATGAGGACAATGTTCATAAGAGTGTCCTCCTCCACAACAAACACATTGCACCGAGAGGACTGCTGAAATAGGTGTAGTAGCAACAAGTTGCACTCCTTGGCCATAAGTAAGGTTTTTAAGAATGGTGGCATGAAAGTGATTTGAGCTGTTAGAGCAATATATGCGTCTACATCGTGAATTCTATCAGCTTTATTTTGTAGTTAGATACATGGATCAACCCAATGTCCATTATTTGCTAAAATATTTTCAAGGATTTCATACCCGTCATTATAGGTACTAGCTTTAAAGGCCCCTCCTGTAATCGCAACGAGCAAATTGTTTAGCCATGTGAGTTAACCTATTTTAGAATGTCTTGAGTTGAATAAAGTTAGGAATGCCATGGTGAGGACATTTTCTTAACATATCGTTGAACCTTTCCTATGCATTAGGAACATATTCATTATCCAATTGTTTAAGAAGACATATTTCATTTCTGGACTTAGTGTTCTTGGTGGGTGGAAAAAATTTTCGCAAATGTTTTCCAGCCATATTACTCCAAGATGGTATATAACCTGGTGGTAATGAATTAAACCATGGTTTTGGTTGATCCCGTAAAGAAAATGGAAACAAAGTAAGTCTTAGAGTGTCGTTAGGCACTCCCAGGATCAGGAAAGAATTAGTGATTTCCATTAAAGATTTTAAATGTTAGTGAGGATCTTCAGATGGTAATCCAACAAATTATCTATGTTTTTGTACATTAGGAACATTATGGATTTAGGCTCAAAATGGACGACTATCATATGGGGCTTAACTATTTCCGAGTTTAATTGCACAAAATCAGGGATAACATAGTCCATGATTCATTTGTCTTTAGAATTTGCAAGATTAATTATATTTGGAGCTTTAACCCGTGGTTGATCATTATCTTCAGAATCTATATCATTAACCAAATCATTGTCTTGTTGTGGTGGTCCTTGCGGAAAAGACTGAAATTGTGGTCTTGGTTAAAACTAGGTGGTCGGTGTTCCAAACTTGGAGGTGACTGAGGTGGCAGATCTACAATAAGTGGGGGAGGTAACGCCATACTCGAAGGGACTAGAGCAAATAATGCTCTTTGAGCCTTCCTTATTTGATGTAATGTTCTCTCAATATCGGAATCACATTCGAGGAACTTCCCTTGGCGTATCCTTGGCATACACCACTTCCAAGGGATTAACATCGTGTTAGAAAAATCAAATCATCAATTTTACTTTTATAAAAAACCTTTACTTTGCCAATCGCCAACAGCGGTTCCAAAAACTTGGTAGGAGGTTCATACACACCCTTAGACATATGAAACGAACCACAAAGCAAGTATACAATATGGTTCAATATCGTTCTTCCCAAGTAATAAAGCGGTAAAGTAGCGGTTATCGTCCATGGAGATCGTAGCAAAACCCTAATAAGTTTCAAATGAAATAAATGATTTTAGATGGTGATTTTGAAGATTTTGGTTGGTTGGAATTAACAACTGAAAAAAAAAAGTAGTATAGATATAAGACTTGTGGTGAGACATAAACACAAATTCTAGCAGACAATGTTGTAGCAATGCTACAACATACAATCAGCCATAACTAATTCCACCATCTATTTTGAGGATATTCCACTCGGACATCAACCATTGCATTGATATTATAGCTTTCAACCCATATCTTTATGTGGTACTATAACCAGTGATAATGCCAAAAGGTGTCCTCAAAATATATGGATAAAGAATTCTCTTTGTAAAAATCATTTTCTCCAGCCGATTCTTATATCATTCAAGTCAGTGTGTGTTCTAAGTAGTTCATCTCTGAATCTATTGCATTTTAACACTATAAAAAGTGACCAACTCGTTGAGAATTAATTAGTTTGAAAAAATATAAATGATAAATCTCGTTGTCAACAACTATCTCAAGGCTACTTTTCATATCATTCAAATTGACAAGCACTCAATGGCTTATGTCTAAGACCATGGCACTTTAACACTTTCAAAGTGATCAGCTCGTCAAGAAGTGTCATTGGTTTTTATAAAACTTGAATGAAATAATGGAACATTTTTATTGCAAAACAATGTTCACTTTCTTTCAGTTTAAAATCTCACCCTTTGTCTCGCACCCAAGTTAATGGAATTAGCTACTCATTATGGAAAGTAAATAACAAGAAATGTATACGAAAGAAAGTTAAGACATCAAAGTAAATGACTTAATGTAAAGAGCGGAAAGTAAATTGCAAAGGAAGTAAAGAAAGTAAAGACAAGATGCAATGTTGTAGCAACGGAATGTAAAGTGCAAGAATTTAGAAGAAGTACTAGAAATTGAAGTACTAAGTCAGATGTTATTTAATTGGAATGAAAAATACAAGTTCTAGGAGCCTCTATTTATGCAAGAATAGAGGAGGAAAAGACAAAAATCATCTAGAATATAAGGTTCTTAAAAGGTGATACAAAAAAATAATACCAAAGTGCACGTCAAAAAATTATAACAACTACACAATGTACCATCCTCTAGAATCTTCTCGAAATTCATCGGTCTTTGTCCAACAATCAACAAAAATTTGTCTTCACATATGCACATCAGCTGAATCTAGAAAGCACATCCCAAAAAGGCGCACTACAAAAACCAATGCTACTTGAATGCTACAACACATAAACAGTAGGTATACATGTTCAAGTTAGCCATCCAATGTTGTAAAAGCAGGTAAATTACTTAATTTAGCTTCATGGATAAAGAAATGGAATATAACATAATAAAAATGGCTCAAAGATGGAATGAAAGGCAAATAAACTACCTAAATGTAAAATATAGGTGTTTATGTCTTGAATAATCATTGCATATCAACTATTCAATGTGTCCCAAGGTCTCAAAAGACCTTCAAAATATGTCATTCAATTCTTTACTTGGCATGTTGCTAAATCATGAGCAGTCTAGATTTCTGAAATAGAATCTCATAAGAGATACTAAAAGTTAGTTTTACTTTCTTTAGAAACTAGCTGTCAAAAAACACACACTCTCTCTCTCACTGATTGAGAACCACCTCTTCTTCTGCATGCTACTGAAGAAATTACTAACCTTGACCTTTCAGAGTTTGATGAATCACTGGCCCTTGTAACTAACTCTTTAAGAAAGTTTGCCAAATAAGCCTAAATCAACCAAAGTTGACAAGGCTACCGCTATATGTTTAGCCTGCGAAAAAAATGACATTTTGCCAATTATTGTAGGTCCAAGAAAGTCGCGAAGGCTTCTCCACTAGGTTCTAAGGATGACATATGCCTGGAGCTGGAAGAAAACTACCGAAAGGTAAAAAACAACAAAATAAAAGGTAAAAGTCTTATCACTAAAGAACGTGACCTAACAGATTCTTCATCAACCTCTTCCTCTTTTGATGAAGAAGATGTTGCTTATCTCTACTTGATGGCTGAAATCAAGGAAGTCAGAGATAAACCATCTGAAGCATGAACTTCCTCTCTTCCAGTTGGATCGTCAAGTACTCCTAAGGTAACTAACTTTGATCATCCCTCTTTATCTGACGCTGACAAATGTAAAATAATGACTATATAACTATTGACCTTTTCAATGTTATAAATGGCAAGACTAAAGTTGAAAAACTAAATCTAGGTTTAACTAAACAACTTGAAAAATGCCAAATGAAAATCAATTTTTTGATTAACATTGAAAATGATCTTCGTAACCAGGTCATAGTAGAATAAATAGTCAGTGATGAACATGAACAAGTTATCGTTCACCTTAAAGTTAAGAAATCCACCGTTGAATGACGATGTAAGGCTTCAACGAAAGTCACTAAAATTATCGAGTTTAAGATACCCATACAAATTAAAAACTATTTGGGTTATAGTTCTGAAAAGGACAATCCAGACTATCACAAGTCTAAGTTAAAGATTGGAATGCTTGTTTCCCCTAGTGCTTAAACTTCTTCTACTTAGTGCTTCTCTTTCATTAATTCTAAACCTGAAAGATCTAAATATTGCTTCCAAATTTGCTAAGAATGGAATTCTGAAGAGAAGACTTCAGAAATCTCTATCGCAAATTTTTAGAGATCTGAGCTGAAGAATGCTTACAATACAATCTAAGTCTGAAAGACTTTTCTTTAGATCTCTAGATCAAAAGATTTCAGAGTTCCGGTATCAAAGCTTCTCAGGCGTAGAAGTACAAAGTCTGAAGAGTTAATCTTCAGAGTTATTTGAAGAGAAGACCTGAAGAGCTCCTAAATGTCAAATTTGAAGATAGAGTGTGAAGACCTTGAGTTCAGAGTTATTCTAACTCTGAATGAGAGGATGATGCTGATTCTGTAACAGATTATTAGCGATAGAGATTATCTTTCCATGTTTATAGGATCTAGTTTCATTGTTTATATGATTTATTGATTCTTTATATAGATAGGTATATTGTTCTTTTCAATACTGATTCATTCAATTATCAATCATTGTAAGAAGATTGCTTTGCACTTTTCAGATTCAATAAAGATCAAAACCTTTGATTGTTCATACTCTATTATTGTTCTTATTATTCTTGATACACAAGAACTTTCAATTGGTATCAGAGCTGACGACTTTCAAATCCTATTCCATATTGTCATATCGACCTCATATTATCAAGATGTCAAAAAAGTATGTTAGCATTGGATCAGAGACCAAGCCTCCAGCATTGTCTGTAGGAGAATCCCATCAATAGAGGATTCACATGATCCAGTTTTTGGAGAACATCGATGAAGAACTTGTGAATTCTATTCTAAATGGGCCCATCGAACCCTTCATCGAAATTCCAGCTGTTGCAAGAACAAAAAATACTCCTACAATCCCTGCATCAACGATCAGAAAGGATCCAAGCATGTACAACGCGCTAGAGAAAAGAAGAGCCAAGATTGACAAAAGGGCACTCACTCTTCTCACCATTACTCTATCCAATGAGATCTTTAACAGGGTAGACAACCTGAATTTTTCAAAGGCTATGTGGGATGAGTTGATTCCCAAATGCGAGGGGGTGATAAAGCTATGCAAAATAAGGTAAACATATGCATAGAAGCCTATGAGGGCTTTAGGTCAAGGGAATCTAAATCTCTCTCTAAAACATATGGGAGATTCAATGACATTATCAATGAATTGAGAAGAAATTATGTGCAAAAGATTAAATCAGAAATAAATAATAAATTTATGAAAAATCTCAAGCCAGAATGGGATACTTTTGTTGATACTCTTTTAACTAAAAATCTGGCCAAGAAAAGTGTTCATGATATCTTTGGCATACTTAATCAACATGAAGAAAAAGTCATTGAGAGAAGGTCAAAGAAGAAAATGGTTCATCATTACTTAGCCCTTATCTCTAAGAGAAAATACAAAAACAACTCAAGAGAGCCTCAAAGCTAGTGGAAATCCTAAAGGTAGGCCCCTCATTTGGCTCACAAAGTGATGACTCTAATATAGAGTTAAAAAAGATGGCTAAGAATTTGGCCTTGCTCACCAATGC